ATTATTACAACTTCTTGGTTTTCCTCAATATTTAACAGCTGCCAGAGAATTCATAAACTGAAATCTGCATCTTTTATACACTTAGTACTCTGGATTTGAACCACATAGGAACTAACTCAGATTAAGTACCAAATTAAGTACCAACTTTTTAACAAAGCCAGTGCATCTCACATTTGAATTACTGATATTGAAAGAGGGCTGCAAAGCTGATGAGTTGAAGGACCCTTTACATTTACCGGATAGATAGGATCAGCCTTTTAAAACTGCCTTGGTTTTATCTTGAAATTTAACAGCAGTTCTCTGGTGTTCATTTTCTCACTGTATTAAAAAAGTCTCAGGAACTCTTCACCTTGGTGCCATGTAAAAAAAAGACATTAGGGACAGGGACATGATTTATGATGGTATTTAAATATGGTATGGAAATCATGATGGCAGTTTAAGCAAGGAAACTGAGAGCAATGGGAATAGTAGCCTAATTCACCCTGTTCATGTTAGGGTCAGACCCAGCATTCACCAAATCACTGGGAAAACGTCCCGGGCTTGTGACTGCCTGAGAAGACAAGTAAATCCCAGTGCCGCTGAAGGCTAATTATGGGACTTGATTTTTATTTCTCAAAAAAAGAGTGATTGGAACAATTTTGTGTGCCATAGTTAATATGCCAAAGGTGGTGTAAAATTACTACAATGACAGAAGGTGCAGTAATAAGGAAATATATCCAATCTGACATCCAGAGATTATTTAATGTCATACTTTTATTTCACAAGATTCAGTTTCATTTTGGTAAAACAGCTTTTTAAAAACATGCCCACACATCCACTGGGCTGTCACAACATCTTAGGACTCGTGTGACTGCACCTGGCTGCCTCCTCCTCCTCCTCCTCCCCACGGCCAAGGGCCAACCGTGTGGCATCAGCTGAATCGTTAGCAGCTCGGAAACAGGGGCTTTCTGAGTAGCCTAATAGGGTGGATTAGGCATCTCAGTTACTTTTGAAAGTTTCAGATATATTTTTACCTAAGGACAGTAGTTAGAGTTTTTTTACACTGATCAAATAGTTCTAATACTCTTTTAGACAATCCTTTATATAATTCATGACCATAAAGTACTAGATAAAACTGATTCAATGATAAAATAACTTTAAATCTTTTCATGTGATTTCAAGAAACCTACTGCTCGTGTTCACATCTGATTAAGCTCTACAAAACAAACTCTGCAATCTTTACCAAAACCAATGGTTATCAGTACTGATTTCCAGAGGAGTTTTGACCATGCAAGGATTGCAGGAGCTGCCCTGACTAAAATTGCAGTTGGACAATGAGTTTCATTACATAATTTGAATAGGCTAATTACAAACTTGAAGTCTGTGATGTGAAATCCCCTCCCTGTACCGGTCCTGCTGGCATTTGGACAATGGTTTCTCTTAGCCATCATCCACCTGCACAAAGGACATGTCACTTCTTGGGGCTGCTAGTTAAAACTAATCCATATTTTGCAAATATAAATATTTTTGTCAAAAGGTCACGAAACCTAGCAACTAAACCAATATGCTAAACTGATGCTCATTTCACCTCTTGCAGGCAGAAGGAAAGGCATGTTTCTCAGTAACATCTTTGCCCTTTGAATCTATAGCAGGATCTCAAAAACATCTGGATACAGAAGAAACCCCGTGAAGACGCTGTCATCCTCAGCACTGACGTAGACCCCGTTCCAGTCCCGTGCAACCTCCAGCCACACCTGGTCACCCGCGCTCAGCTTCAGGATGGTCAGGAAGGACGCCTGGTCGATCTCCTGGCCGTAGAGTGTCTCGCGGGCTTTGGCCACCTTCCTGCTGCGGGCGACAAGGCTGATGCGGGCTGGACGCCCTCTCACTGTCAGGTGGTAGGCGAAGACGTACGCCCCGGGCACACTGCAGTTGAATTTCCCAGTGGAAGGGTTGTAATCTTCTTGGTCATTGTACAAGATCTTGTCAAATCTAATGGGGACGTTGGGCGGAGGGAAGGGCTTGGACAAGCCAGCACTGAACGCTGATCGCAGGAGCTTTGCGGTGTCCCCTCGGGCACCCTTTGCCCCACGGGAGCCTTTCTTTCCTGGTGCCCCTCGGCCCCCCTTGCTGCCGGCAGCCCCTTTGGGCCCAGAAGGTCCCGTCACACCAGCAGGTCCCAGGTCCCCTTTTTCACCCTTACTTCCTTGCTCGCCCTTTTCTCCCTGTTTTCCATCCACCCCCTGAATACCCTCAACCCCCATCTCCCCTTTGCTCCCTTTTTCTCCTTTTGTCCCCCCTTCCCCTCTTTCTCCCTTCGCACCTCTCCCCCCTGGCTCCCCGCAGTACCCCTTCTCCCCTGTGTCTCCCTTTTCCCCTTTGTCACCCCGTTCTCCGTCCACTCCCGGGTCTCCAACATCCCCTCTATCTCCCTTGTCTCCTTTGGTCCCGTTCTCACAAGTGTCCCCTTTGGACCCCTTTTGTCCCTTTAGTCCAGGGAAGCCGTAGTTGCCCTTATTGCCTTTTACTCCAGCTTCACCTAGGAATAGGGCAAAGTGGGAGGAAAAAAAAGATTAAAAATATTAGTATTGGATTGCTTTGGAGAGGGAGGGGCATCACCAACAGCAAAGGGAAAGGCCAGTGCAATATTCCTAGCTTTCCCAGCCCGTGTTACATACCTTGCAGCCCAGGTTTGCCTGGATAACCAGGGTTTCCACTTACTCCTCGTTCACCTTGCTCCCCCTTGCCTCCTAGGACAGTTCACCATTAATATACTGTTAGTGATGTTGTCTGCAGCACAGCAATCATTGCACTGAAGATGACCGGTACCATTTTGCATGTGTCCCTCACTTCATTAATAAAACAGAGATGAGCAATGCGTGTTTTCAAGAAATGCCTTCAGAAATCTCAGCTGAATCTCACGGCACCAAGTACCATCACGCAGACAACTGCATCTCACCCAAATGTTGGATTTCTGACTCTAATCAGTGTCTTGTTGGGAGGCAGTTGCTGCTGTTTAATGGCAAGATGGAGAAGATGACAGCTCTGCATTTCTCACTCCACAATTGCCAAAAGTCTTGTTCAAGAAGTGAATCAAAGCCTAAGAGACCGCACTGACTGAACTGCACAGCATACTGCTGCTGATTACCCCCATTATTAGCTTTGCTGTGTGCTTCTCCGCGACCAAAGGCAGCCGCAGGATCTTACCAGTGGTATGTGGCAGCAGGACAGAGCTGCTCCGAGCCTGAAATGAAGGGCAGGATTTCCTTTCAGTTACTACTGATGGATAATAATTGCTCTCCATCTTAGCTGAAATCATTTTGCCTGAGATACTTAAATTGAAATGCAGCTTCTACACCTGTGTGTAGATTCCATGGTGTTTTTTCCTACTTATGTCCCTAATCCAAAGCAAATTGAACTCGGTTTTTAAATGCCCATTCAGAACAAGGAGTTTCAAGTGAGATCTTTATGGGCAGCTGTTCCTATACCACCTGCCCATACACTACTACCATCTGAGTTATTGTCCCTGCAGTAATGCCAGCTAAATCTCGCAAGGTGTCAATCCATATCAGCATACTCCGTTTCCTTTGAAAAATATTTTTTCCCATAATTTTGTGGCATTCAATGAGGACAACAGCATCTGTTCTCGAAATGAGCCGTTAGTCTGCTTTACCTCTTTCTCCTTTAGAACCTTTTGGACCTTGAGGACCTGCAGTTCCCGGCAGACCTTGCAGACCAGCATCTCCCTTCTCCCCCTTGGGACCTGTAACATAATCACATCAAGAAAATTATCTTAGTAATTCAAAGGTTTAAGCTTATAAAGAAAATTCACAACAATAGCTAGGCAACATGGCATCAAGGGATGCATGTAAGGCAAACTCTGTTTCCATCACCCTGGGAAGAGCTGACTATTTGGCATCACACGACCAATGCAAAGAAGATGTGAGACAGACAGGTTTGGCCTGAGCCCTGCTCCCCTATGCGTTGCAGACGCTGCAGCTGAAACCCTACAGCAGGGTGAAAGGCGAGGGGTGGCAGGGGCAACGCTGCACTGCTCGTGCTGAGATTAGCGGGGTGCGTGCTCACAGGTCCCCTGGTCAGGCATGCAGCTCCCCAACCTTTGCCTTTCAGCTACTGCAATCCCCAAATCTTGTAGTTTTGCATTTCACTCGTGGCTGTAGTTAAAGATTTTTTAAAATGAACTTCCAGCTGCCCTTGAGCCACAGGAGCTCAGACATTCATAAAACATCAGAAGTAATCTGTCTTTAATGTTTGAGCGCATCTAAGGAGCTCCCATAGCTTCGTAATTGCCCCTCTCTTTAAAAAGATTTAAGTCTGCAAATATAAAAGTGGAACCTGGCAGACAGCTCCATACTGCATAAAGGATAGGTTGAAAGGCAAGCAAGCTGGCTTCAATCTTTTTTCACTTTTTCACCCACTTGGGAATCTAGAGACTCCCAGTGCACGTCTGGGAGCAGACTATGGCAGCTTCAATCATCACAACACAACCCATTTGACATAAGGACTTTTCCATCAACACTCAAGAGATGTATGAGTGCAAACTCCCTCTGCAACCACTATAATTTCTATTAGCCAATCCCTCCCAAGCTATGGGAAGTGAAAATCCCTCAAGTACATTGTATTAAAAGAAAATTATTTCATGATTTTACCACCTTTCCTCAGATGAATAGTTTCTATCTCCAATATTAGTGCTATTAAAGTGAACATTTGCAGACTAATGCACTATTCATTATAGCGGTATTAGAATTAGGCGCTCTATAGATATGTATTTTAGCAGTAGAAAAAAGAGACAAAGTATGTCTTATAAAATATTCAGGTGCTCTATACAGAGCTGCCTCTTCTGAGAGCAAATAATTATTTTAAAATTTGAACCCAAAATTATTTTTGTATTTAACTTCCTCTTTTCCAAGGGGAAAAAAAATCCAAGAAAAAGGGACTTTTATCATAAACCTTCAGCAAAGGTACAAAACTGCTTGGAGGTAGTTTTGAGGGTCATAAAACCATGGTTGAAGCGTATGAGAAAGTAAATCTGTGACTCCCAGGGGATCAGACACAGGGACAGAGAATCGAAGAGTGTGGCCACATGGGGCACCCGCCAGCAGCGATGTGGTATGGGGCCAGCTCTGCATGCGCTCCCATGCCGGTGTGGTCCTCAAAGTGAGAGCCATGGGGAGGAAGCTCCTTTTTGGGGCTTTCCCACTCATATCGGTGTTTTGTAACGTCTGGGATGTGGCTGGCGTGCACTTTTTTGCTCTGGCTTTACACGAGGTACAATCACATTTGGCATTTGCTGCACAAGTCCTGCTGATTCATTTCTTGACGGAAAAGCAGAAGACTCCTTGATACGGTTTATGGGCTTTAGCTGACAGTTGCATCACTGTACCTGGGGGTCCCTGCTCCCCTGGCTGCCCCCAGGGCCCCACGGCAGGCAGGCAGCAGTCACAGCAGTTGAAGAAGAAATCGGCTGTGTCGAGCGTATAGTTCTCGAAGGGGAAGAGTGTGGTGGCCCCTCGGGCCGCGGGGCTCGGGGTGGGTAATTCGGCTCTGCCTGGTGCTGCTGGGAACGGGCTTTTCCCCGCAGGGGGGGTGAGGGGGGTGTGAGAGGCACCGTCACCCGCCAGCTGTAAGGGCTTCGTCTTCATGTACTTCACAGCTGGGGTAACCTTTACTCCCGCATGCACAGCAGCAACAACCAGCATCACAAACACCGAGATGGGCCCCCGTGCGCTCCACATGTTGGCAGCTGTAGGAAAAGATGAACGCAATAATAAATTGTTGCACAACACCCTTTGCATTCGCATGTTCCCCGCAAAGCCAGAAGACCTGCAGGAGTAGTGTCAGGCACATGTGGGCATCTGCCTGGAGGACTACGTTACAAAGCCTCACTTTTTATGGGGAAAGTAAAGCAAAATTAGCAAAACATCCTGCCTGCTCATCCCTATTGACCATCGCCCTACAGAGCACTTGTCATTTGGCTGCTCCTGTTCGCTGTGGTTGGAAGTACTCCCATGGGTATCAACGGAAGTTCAAGGGACTGACTGAGAGTTATATGATCACTGGGACACATGATGTCTTTCTTCCAAGTGTATGATTAGGAATAATTCAGTAATGATTTCAGAGTCCAACACAACTGCACATTATAAAAAGGTTTGCTCTAAAAGAATAAATGGAAACAAGATGAAACATCAACTATTCCAAAATTTTTATGTCAATTTTTTCTTTGTTACTGACTGATTTTCTGGACTTGCATATTCTTTCAGTGTAAACTTTCAGGTCCATTCTTTTTATTTTTAAAGCGTTGATTTAGCTGAACCAGGAAGAAAGAACAAAGTAAGCACACATTTTTTCTTATAGGACAGATGACGCCTCTCAGATGACTTGTCATATAAAGCATCTTTGTTTCTTTTTTAAACCAGTGTACCGACCTGTAAATACAAATGGAACAGACTCCCTTTCTTGCTGAACCTGTAATCTAACCCTCCTTAGCAGCTAAGGCACTTCATTACATGAAAAAGTCACCAGGAGAAACGCTGACTATCCTTGCCATCCAGAGGGCAAAAGGAGGTCTGACTCAAAGTCAGGTATTTGGGGGATGGATTATAATCTTTCCATCTTTAAGAATTCAGTTTTAGAGGAAAGGGTCATGAGTTTTTCCATTTTCACACGAAAACAAATCATTTAATGTAAAATTGATTAGCCAGACAAAATCCCCAGTGATCACTGCTGCCCACTGCTGCTGTTCAACCCATTCTTCACTCCATCGGCTCCAGTGAAGGATAAATTATCCCTTCTCCAGGCATGTGTCGCATTAGGACAGGATACTGGGCACTGATTTTTGTCATAGGCCTGTATTTGCTCCCAACCAGCCCCTGCCAACCTTACCATGAAGAGATTAACGTCGGGATGGTTGGCACGGGAGGGCAGCACTCAGCGCAGGCAGGCAGAGAGGAGCCAGACCTTACAGCCAGCAGCAGGGAAGCAGCCACAGTCACAGAGAAGGAGGATCATCTGCTGTCTAGGAAGAGAAAAAAAGCACCAAATTCTCCTTTTGAAGAGTGTTTTGCCACTGCTGGAGACAACTAAATAAACCCATAACTTCCTGTTTCTTTGTTTTACTGTCACAAACCACTTCTGCAACAAGCTCTAAAACCAGACACTCTCCAGTTACATAGCCAGATTGATGGATTGCCATCAAATACTGGAAAAACATAATTAATTAATAAAAAAATTATACCTTACCAGTCTGTTTAGAAAATAAATTGCTCAGAGCAAGGAATCATTAAATAGATTTTCATTATAATGGGCAAGTCTGTTCCTAAAACGATTATTCCTAAATATATAAATGCATTTTAATGAAACTGAAATTTTTTACTTTTTCATTACATTAACTCACCACCACTGATTCTAAAATCATTCATTTGAATCCCCCCATTAGGAAACATTATGATTCACAGTGGACACAAAATATGGAGAATTAAACTTTGCTGCAGTGACACCTCGTTCAGTACATCTATATTTAATTGGATCTAAATTTCTACTAATTGTTAGCATGTGTCCATAATAACATTGTAATAATACACTTGTTCTTTTGTTTGGTCCCTCAAATTACAGTATTTAGATATTCCAGTTCACAAGAGGTATTTAACCCCAATCTCCCAGCTTCAAATATCAGGAAGATGATTGCACTTTCTGTTATTTAATTATTTCAAGTTCTTATTCAGGGGAGGAAAAACACTAGTCCTCATGCAGCTATACATTCATTACAGACAGTAACTTTTCTTGAGACAAATTATATTGCCACTACGTCTTAAATTCTACTTCATTGCAAATATCCCGCCTGAAGACTAAACGACCAGTGCGTGCTATCTCCTACCTTATAAATGGTCCTGCTCCCAGGACGACCCCCCCTCAACAGCACTTTGAAAAAGGCAATCTTATTTTCAGAGAGAATCAGTTTTATTTGTGTAACAGGTATTCCCGTAGCCAATGAGAGCCTGCACAGTGCGGGGAGAAGGGGGAATTGGCAAAGTCCCCTGAAAGGAGCAAGGTGACACTGAAATCCGAGGAAATTCAAATGCTTTCCCCGGGCTGGGACGCTGCTCTTCACATGGGACTTTTTTGGCTCTTCCCCCAACACCAGTTTTTGGGGCTTTAGGGACACTCCTCTTTCAACACACAGCATCATGTTTTAGTACCATCAGACTCAGTGTGAATTTGTTCCTTTGCTTCAGCAGGGTCCAGGTTTCTCTCTTGGTATTTAGTGTGCAGAGTTTGACATCTCACTCCCTTCCTTGCAGTGGGAGTTTAGAAAGGGTAAAAGAGAAATTACAGAAATAGCTGTAGGCGATCATGAGTGCATGTGTGCACGTGCCTGCATGGAAATGCATCGAAATGGGAATTCAGCTTCAAATCCAGGCTGTCCCAGGTAAATACAGAGATGGAGCAAGTGAATGCTTTCTGCTCCCTCCACTTCCAGCACAGAGCAGGGTACCTGGGGCGGGGTTTTGTCCCCCTGGGACAAATCTCCCCTGGGAGGGTTGCGACAACGTTGTTCTTATTGGAACTGATAACCTCTCCAGATTACATGGGCTAATTGATTTTCCTTGCTCTTTCCCAGCAATCACAGCACTCATTTCCCTCCCCAGTGACATTAAAATGGGCCAGCATTTATTCTTAGATTTCCCAACCCAGTTCAGAGTGCAGTATGAAACTCAGGAATGTGAGGTTGCCTTTCATTGCCTTGTCTTGGTGAAATATGAGCAAGGAAACCGCCTCATTCAATCACTCTGAATTTACTACATACAAGTACACTCAAAGTTCAGCTGCCGGACAAGAAAGGCTGCTTGTTTCAGGCAGGCTGGAGAAAACAATCAATTCTCCTTTAATGTAAGTGAACAGAATTGTAATCCTCCATGATTTATTTGCAACCACCTTTTCCTGCACAATAGTCTACAGCTTTTAGCAATAAAAAGTTGATTAAGGCAAGTCTATTACTACGCATACCAGACTAGATTGATTCACCAGCTTTTTAGGCTATTCCAAAGAAATCAATTAGGAGTTTTCAAGCGAGATGCTCTAACCCCATGTAGGACATGGGCTTGTCACAGATCCTGCAATGGAACCTGCACCAGCACTCACTGATGCTCATTCGTACTGCTGAAAACAGAGCTGGATCCTGAATTCAAACAGTTCTTTTTTAAAAATTAATAACCCTTTTCAATACTATAATTGGACTCAATGTTATAAACTGAAGTTAAAAATAATTGTGACTTCAGCAGTTATATTTCTGACAAGACCATGGACACATAAATTGAAGATAAAAGCAATCAAATAGATGATAATAAAATCCTTATTTTGGTCTTTTTACTTTTTACTTTTAACTCAGGACTTTTCATTAGCAACAGAAGTTATTCAACAGGGGAAGATTAACCATTTTTAACCAAGATTACTGCATTTTACAGTGTTGCCTCCGTATTCACCAAAGCTACTCTTTCACAGACTTCAATTTAATGCCATATTTGCTGCACACTAAAGCTAAAGCAAGAAACACAGTTTTACTCCCGGGTTAGTGCATTTTCCTGAATAGCTTGAACAGTAGCAGTCTGGAATAGTATTATTAGATTATGTGACAACCACAGGTTTTTAAATTATACAGTGCTTATTGACTTCCTGAAGCAGTTTGGAAAACTCATGGGTTGAGAGCATAAATTAAGATTTATCACTAGATTAATCACTCTGTTTATTCAGGGGATCTGGGTCTACATTTTACTGATATAAATGATGCATGTGGGCCATTAAAATTCAAAGTACATTTCAAACACACTCCTAGCCTTGCATATTTGCAGATAACTGTTTTTGACTGAGATTTGCAAAGCTAAGTAAAAAAAAGCTGTGTCCATGCTACTGATTTCTACCGGCACGTCCACCAGCCATGGATAGGGAGGGCTGGGATCTTCTCATAATTGCTGGGTCACTAAAAGCTCCTCCTGGGGCTTGGCAAAAGCAAACCCACAAAAGCCAGTGCATCCTGGAAGAAGCTTTAACCAGCATAAAGCAATTCCCCAAGGAAGCAGCATCCTTGCGACCACTAATCCTTGCAACCTTAATGTCGGCTCCCCATCATTATCAGAGATGGGGAGGAAAGGAAGGATTTCACCAGAGACCCTCACCTCTCCCCTCCTCTGCAGCCTGATGCTCCTCCTGGGACACAGCGGGGTCCTGAACCTGGATGCGGCCACAGCCACCTTGTACTTGCAGGATCCTCTCCTTGGCTGCCATTCTGAAACACAGAGGGACACAGTAAACTGTGTAAATATATTTTGTGTTAAATTAATGGAGTATTTCTTAAATGAGATCAGCAAAGGATATTCAAAAAGCACCAAAAAGTGGAACCAGAGGGTTCCACTTCCAATTGTTTGCAAATGAAAATAGAAAATTTAGACCTGCAGACACAAGGTAGACTGATAAACTGAAAAAATCTGGTTTGGAAATACAATAAAGGAGGAAACAGTGAAAACCCAAACAGCACAGAAAATAAGCTAGGTTTGTTATAATAGGCAATTTAAAATCTTAATGCCCAAGTATCAAGAAGGCAAACTGGGAAGGAGAATATTCACATGGAATAGGAAGTGGGTAAAAATGGAATTAAATTCCATTCGAGCTGGGTAAAAAGCGTTAAAAGGAAATTAACATTTCTGTGTGAAAAAACAATTAACACCTCTCACAAGATTTCCCACAACAATTTAGCAGACCTCCTGGAAGAGGTCCTCCTCTCCCCCGCCATTAATTTTATTTTCTGAAAAATTGAAATGTGTTCTGGTTTCCTTTATTCATTATCACAAAACAATTGAACTAAACAGAAAACAGACTGAAATGAAAATTTTCTGCTATGTTGTTAATTAGAGGAGGGAATATTTCCATATAAGACAGTACAATAGATAAATTAATCAAGTCAAGTTACAAACTTTTTTCTCCTCTCTTACATACTCAGTATACCGTAGCCTCCTAAATGTCACTTAGAGGCAGCACTAAATGGACAGCCGGAATTCACCCTTGCTGAGTGAAAAAAAAGCAAAAGCTGTGTTTGGTTTTTTTTTAGACCCACTGAAAAAGATACAATTTCATTTTCTCCCGTTTTCCTTCTGTCTTTTCTCTCTTTTTCAACCTGGAAATCCAGCCAGCCCATGTTTTCCAGGCAGACACCTTTTTCCAGGGACTTCAGGGTCTCCTTGGGGCCCCAACAATCATCAGACACCAGGTGACCCCATGCCTCCCTTCCAGCCCTTCCCACCCATTTCTCCTCTGTCCCCCTTGGACCCCTTTTCTCCCCAGTTACCTCTCAGTCCTGTGTCACCTCTGGGACCCAGTTGCCCCTTGTAGCCTGCAGTTCCCAGAAGTCTTCTAGGACCAGTTTGTCCCCTCCAAGAAGGAAGTCCTGCTTCACCACTGAGCACCTGATTACTCTTCTCCCTTTGGTCCTTGCTGTCCAGGTCTTCCTGGGGGTCCTTGTATTCCTCTTTTCCCAATGTAACCTGGTTTACCCACAAAAGAGAAAAAATGGTTAAATTCCCTTTACTAAGAACAACATGGCAGAATAGACAGAATACAGCTCTGCAGGAGAGCCTTCACTGGTCATCAAATTACATGTTCACCTAAATAATGTCAAATTTTTCTACGCAACATATGACTACTGAGAACTAAGCTGTAAGTGGTGTAAAAACACCACAACAAAGCAAGAAAAATATAAAGGATGAAAATCTTTTTCCATCTGGGGATGTTGCTATTCAGATGCCATAGAGAACAGCCCACTGTGGGGACACTGCAGCCATCGTGGAAGCCAGCAGGTCATGTGTGGCATATTCATGTGCACAGCGTTTGGGATGCTAGTTTGCATTTTTTGCAAAAGAAAGAATTATGAACTAAATGCTTGAGACAAATAAAACCTAAAAATGAAAAAAAAAAAAATCTTTGGAATTTGTCTCTATAGTTGATCTGTTTTCAGCTTAAAATTTTGGGGGGCTTTCATTTGTGATGAGAACTTTAAATGCTGTGTGGTGTAAATATTAAACAAGTCACTTCTGTAGAAAAAGGAGCTACTACTCATGCAAGATCTTAAAATGCTTGACTTCAAAAAAATACCGCCATAGGGATTTTCATTGGATGCAAAGGAATAAAATAATCTCCCTGTAAAATCAGTATAATTGCATTTAGTGTTATTAAGATTCAGACATCAAGGGGAAAATAAGATCAGAAAAAAACCTGTATCGGTCTATGCCGGTATATCCCACAAACCCTACGCCATACGTTGTTTTAAATTTCCTAAGTCTGCAGGATGGCAGTGCAGTTACACCTAAATAGAGATTTATGGCACTTTAAAGTATAATGGCTAGAAGGATCCAAAAGCTACCATTTCACATAAATAAGCATTTAAGGAGTTATTTAAGGACTATAAGAACTTCATGATACCTATTACATTCTATTGAGTCAATCACTCTAAGAGTCCCTAAATGCATATTTAAAATACCAGTAACGTACTTATTTATGTGAAAGACCAGAATTACAGTACATGAGTTATTGTAACTCATTGGGCTGAACTCCTACGCTGGTGCCAATTTTTGAAGTCCTTTTAGTAGTGTAAAGTGGCCCTGCAAATAAATGCAGTCCCACATGCATCGTACCACTGCAGCGGGGAGCAGAGTGTGGCCCCACTCCAAGCCCTGCCCAGGGCACAGATCTCCTTTGTCAGGACCTACAGATGCCTCTGGTCTTGACTAAGAAACACGTACATTGTGCTCATCTGGAAACTCTAGATGGCCAAAGGTAGAAAGTGATAAAATTACCTGGCTCCCCTTTTTCACCCTGGTCTCCCTTTGTGTGTCGGGCTCAGGGATGTCACAGAAACCCTGCTTTTCTGGTGTACTGCTGTTTTCCTTCAGTGTGTTTAAGAAACAAAATAGTCCTCAATAGCCGTGCCTTTGCTAATAGCAAGTGGTGGGATTGTTTCCCTCCTTGTCTCCAGTACCATCTTTCAGGGAAGATGATATTCGCTGGAGGGGCTCTGAAGTCCCAGGCTGGTTGGTGATAGCAGCTTGTCCCTTCGGGGCGAGGGTTGTCAGCCTTTCCACTGGCCACATGGTGCACCTGAGGATGTCAAAGCAGCCCGGGAGCCCCCTGAGTGCCATCCTCTGGGACGATTTTGGTGGCATGTGTCCCCAGCCTGGGTCAGCAGGGACAGCAGGTGCCCGTGGCAGGTCCCCTGTTCCTGGTCCCTGTCCCCCACTGCTATTGGTATCGATGGGAACTGGCTGAATGCACCACAAGCAAGAGCTTTCCCAACAAAATGATTGCTTATAAAAGAAGTAGAGAAGTGATACACAGTCATAATGCAGGGCAAGTAGCTCTCCTGAAGAATATCTACCAATGCAGAAACTTCTTTCCCATCCACAATTATGGAGATTGTTGCATTCACAGGATTAGATGCTAAAATAAAGAAGAAAAACTGCATATATTGTACAGTCCTTAAAGAAGCACAAAAAGATCTCCACTGTCACTATTTGCAGGACACATAGAGCAACAGCTGCTTTATTGCAGCTTCCTGGAAATTATATTTTCTGGTTGAAATCTCCTTTTTCATGTTTAATATATGAAACCCATGAGATAGATAGACCCAGTACCTACTACCTATGAGGTAATGTGCTGCCTTTGTGCTCCTTCATGAGCAAATTCTGTAGCTTAAAGTGGCCACTCGACACTTCATGATGTATATCCCAGTATTTAATTATTTTGAGATCAAAATAATCCCAAAGGAAGTACATCATGCCTATAGCATATTACAAACCAGCAGTTTTATGTATCCAAATTTATAATTAATTACGTTTAAATAGATACCTAGCTGATTCAAAATATCTGTTTCTCTCAGGCTAAATATTTGCCTGTGAATAATCTGGTAGAAATCACAGTCACCTCTAGAAACAGTCATGAGCTGTAATTTAACTTTTAAAACTACTCACACTGGGGACTATAAAATTGTATTTTGGATAGTATCATGGCAAGGAGATGAACGGTCAGAGTGATTTTATATGAACATCCAGCTTTAACTGGATTTTCTGAACAATTTAAAGAGGCGAGGGCCCTTTCTAGCTTCTGGTGGGTGCAATGCAGAAACCAAAGTGCATTTATGGAGCTGAAGTAAGGAGGAGAGAGGATCGGTGAGTTGGCAACAGCGCACCTGGAGAAAGATGCACTGGAGGAGTCAACAGACTGCTTGAACCACTCTAAGCAGAGGAGTTTCTACATCTAAGCACTGTAGTATGTGTGGTTTTATATATATATATATATACATATACATGCATATATGTATAAATGGGAGTATTTCTAGGAAATTTTCCTATTGCATATTATTGAACTCAAAGAATAAAAAATGTACCATAATTTTTTCTATTGTCTCTAATTTTTTGTACCCTTGGTTGTACTGCCTCATTTGCCTGTTGCTTCACTCACCACACATATCTGCCTTCCCCAAAGTTTTTAGGGATACATCCCATCATGCCAACGCCTTCTTCTTCCAGTGCACACCCCTGTATCACCCTCGCTCCAACACCAGACTTGGCAGCTCTACAGATGCAGCGCAGGCATTAGTATTTGGGGCTCTTTCAGGAAACAGGCAATTTCTCACTTTTTCTTTGCACAGACCCTACAGGCCCATAGAGGCCAAATACCTAAAGTTCAAAACTTGGTCAAAAATTGTGAACCACCATTGTTTAAAAATTCATATTCTAATAGTCAACGTTTTTAATTTTTTTTTTTTTTTTACAAATCGGGAAAGATTTGGCCATACAGCTGCTGTTGTACTTGGATCAGGTGCAATTATTCTCATATATAAAAATATCCCATAAAGTTCCACAGACAAATAAAATTGACTTGGTTGGCTGCCAAGTTTCAGGAAGTTTTTTTACTATTAGAACAGGCAACATTTACCAAAGGTGTATGCTGGGATCAGTAACACAACAGCAACCTATTAATCAGCAAAGGGCAGGTGTTGTTTTCTAAGAACTTTTATGCCAACACTGTGGATTAAGCCAAATATTGTCAGTTTTCCTCTAATTATTTCACAGAGGGTCTCTCTAGCTCCATACACTTGCCACTTTCCCTTCTGAAAGACAGAATTTAATTGAAATCAGGAGCTTATGCCTACACACCTTCTTTTTACAAAAGGATATGCAGTATCAAGAAGCAAGTCAGGCACCAATACTGCCAGTCGTCGTAGTTTTGCCATGAGACTTAGGATATTTAGTACTCTTAAAGTTTAATCTCTTAAAACCCAGTGATTGCAGAAAATTACAGATTTCATTTTAAAAAGTCAGTTCTGAGCCTTGTGTTAAAAGGGCTCCGACTCTAGGAGGTAAATTACAATAATCTCAAATGTAATTATATTTAAACTTTTCCAGTCTCATAATTTGAGAAGTGACTCACAGCTTGTAATATTTAAGGGACATCAACCTGGTAACTACAACCGTTTTTACACAAAGAGATAACAAACCGTGTTTCTGATTTCTGAGTCAGATTGTGCCCTTGCCAGTATTAAGATGTATACATATGAATAGCATCAACTAAAATACCGGGATACTGGACTCAGTGATAGACTCAGCCCTTTCCTAGTCCTCAGCTACACTAGTGGGCTTTTAATTATTGTAGGTTTTAAACAAAGTCTATGTTCAGGCTGCACCTGCCCAAGAGATGGCAATGTCTCACTGTCAGACACAGCCTGTCCAAGGCAAAGTGCTTTGCATTAGCAAAAGCTTTTGTCCTACGCTTATTATTCCATAATAAACACTGCAATCATTATCTATTTTAATACCGTGAAATCCCATCAGCCTGAAACTACCCAAGTTAATAAGCATCTTATGAGACAAGGGGCTTATAGATCTCCACAACAGCAAATTTTATTCAGCAGAGAATCTTGCCCTGCTCCGCTGTGGCACAATGTTGGCACGCAGTGACGCAGACTCCTTTGCAGGTTATTTTACAGCGGGAGGTGTTGCAACACCCCTCAGAAATAAGGAAATGGAAATATCTACTTTCCTTTAACCCAAATTCTTCTTTGCTCTGGTAAATATACGTTTTGTAATAAAGCAAGGTTACAGAACTTAAAGTCACGGTGTTTTAAAGAGTCGCATGCTGCAACCTTGAAATCCTGATAGGAAGCAAAACATTTGGGAACAAAATTGTCTCTGTGTGTGCTGGACCCAAAAATTGTTGAGAGTTTATAGTATTTACAAAATTAAAAAGCAACAGGGAGGGAGAGAATTGTTTTTTCTGACATACAAACTAAATGCAAGGGACTTTGGATCAACACCAAAGACAGAGGAAAGATTCCCACTGATTTCCTTGGAACAGATGCCTAATACCCATGCAAGGTGAAAATTAACTACCCTAGAAACACAACTCCCCATTTAACAACCGGCGAGAGGCAGTGTGAGAACATCGTGGTTTGGGCTCATTTCACACCTCAGCATGCTCAGAGACGAGCTGCAGAGGCAGAGAGATGCACATCAAGTTTGCATCTCCTAAAAAGCGTAACCACCTATTGTCTCCTGTGTGGTGGCTGCAGTTGCCAGTGTGGGGCTGGAAGAGCATCTTCTGGCTCTGCCACAGCCAGGACTTCCATAAGTAGGAGTATCTCATGCTTTACAGGGTTACACTCCCACCCACTCCCATCTTTCTCCCACACACATTTATCCTAATTTCCCCTGAAGATCCCCTGAGAGGAGCGACCGTGCAAACCTCTGCACCTGCTCTGCTCCTCACCCTGCAGGAGCAAAGGCAGCAAAACTATCTCCAAATGAATAATATAGGGGAATGTATAATAATAAAAAATTATAATTATAAATAAATTATAAAATACATTGTATTTTTTAGATCTTCTGATTAGGGCAGGAGCAGACTAACTTCTTTTCCATCTCTTATAGCAAGCCTTGAAAAGGGAGAAAGAGCAAAATGTGCCTCAGTGGGAAGGATTTCTACGGTAGTAGCTGGTGTTTGCAAGGAGGCAGCAGAGCCCGGGTTGGACTCCAAATGTAGTGACAAGCTTTGCCATACACAGACCTCATGGTGAAATGTAGCATATTTTTACAAGCAGAGCTGAAAGACAAAGAAGAGGGTTTCCATGTTGGCAGGTGCAGCTGTCAAGAAACAGGGATGACGGGGCAGAAGGTGGGATGGAGAAGGATAATACAAGAGGTTTCAGAAAAGGTAGAGAACTGCTGCTTCAGCCAGAGGCTCATCACAAGAGGGCACTCCAAGTGCTCCCAACAGCCCTGCCCAGGATGGTTTTACAGCCCACACCATCCAAAGATGAAGCACAAGCATCCCGGCCCTAAGCCTTAATCACCTCCACAGATCCCAGACATCATGCTCTGCATCCTGAGCATCCTGCTCCATCCAGGACAAGCACAACAGGAGACAACAAACATTGTCCCAGAATAACTCACCAACAGCCTCTAGACAAAAATGGAATTTTTGAACACTGAGTGTATGTGATTAATAGATAAAACATAAAAAATCAGGTATCTGTGAGACCTACACTTTTCAAACTTGTTTCCATTGAGAGCAGTAATAAAGGCTGAATCTGTATGGTCAAAGTATACAGGAGAAAACAAACAAAAAACTAAACTCTTGCTAAGAATAGAGAACTGCTCATTTTAAGAAAATTTCCCCTGGCAAAATGGTATCAGAATGAGTAGGATTAATCACAAGGCTGGCAGTACTCATATAGAATTGCGAAAGAGCATGAGGAGACGAAACAGATAATGAATGGAATTGCGTTTTTAAAATGAAGGTGAAAGCCTTCTCTAGCAACTGGGTGCAATCCAGTGGAGCTGCAAAACTGGCTGGAACTGCCGTTCAATGAGTGATTCCTTCCAGATCACCACAAAACACAGCTACCTTCTCTAGAGGAAAACTTTAAACTCCCAAAGCAACTTCATTTTTCTCTAAAACACTTAAGAAGCAGTTCTAGGAGCAAACCATGCATTCACTACCACAGCCGTAGGTTGCTGCCTACTCACTGGATGAAGTTAGGTAATAGTGCAAGTTATCCAGCAGATGTGGGAAGAGGAATGGCTTGTATCTTGGA